ATCTAATGTACTAGTAAGAATGGTGCTTAAACTGCTAGTCATTTCCTCTAATTCATCTGTTTGTTTGGGTTCACTTAGCAGCTTAGATAGATCAGGTAAGCTATTTGAGAATCCATCTATAGTGGTTGGAAGGATTGTTCTGCCTGGTCTATAACGTGGTGCAACAGAATCATAAACACGGGACGTGATGGAAAACTGTCCATTGTGCCAATAGGTGGTATGCACATGAGTTTTGCCTTGATGTTGAGAGTGGCGTGGGATCTGTACTTCAGCCATGGGAAAGATTTAAATTTCGGGACACATCATCAGTAATGTGCCTTCGAATCAGGGGGTGTTTCACGGGTCACGTTGATGCTCTTTGAGCCCAACAGGGATCCTTCCTCTTAATCCAGATCCACTGGCTGCTTCTTTCGGATGCTTCAGAGACTGATCTAATTGTTTGTCGCAAAGCCTGTCCACGGATGCCAAGGTCTTTCAGCAATCTGATGGTAGAAGAAGCCACAAAACCTCTGCATCCCACTTCAACCGGATAGACTTTCGCTTTCCATCCTCGTTGTTGAGCGTCTGCTGCCAGTTCTATATAGCGCAGTTTCTTGCGTTCATAGGCCTCATCTGTTGCATTCGCCCATGGGACTGTGAGCTCAATGATGTAAACAGACTTTAACGAAGGGGACCAGAGAACCAAGTCTGGCCTAAGGGTGGTGACTGCAATTTCAGGTGGAAAGATTAGTTGCTGGCCTATATCGACTAGCATCTTCCAGTCCCGGGCCATGGCTAGCTGTCCAGTCTCTGGTTTGGTAGGGGGATGGTTGGGCTTTTTCTGTCCCTCTCGGATGAAGATTGGGGCCGTGATGGATTTGGTTGCTCTCAGGGGCAAGGAGTTGGTGGCATTCCTCTGGCTCTCAAGAGCTGCTGCCAGACCCTTGAGGACCTGGTTGTGTCTCCAGGTGTAACAACCTTGTGTGAGGCTGGTCTTACAGCCGACCAAGATGTGCTTAAGAGTCGCTGGAGTTGGGCAGAGGGCACAGGTTGGGTCCTCACCATACCACTGGTGGAGGTTTTTTGGTGATGGGAGCACGTCATAGGTGGCTCTGATGATGAAGCTGATGTTGCTTGCATCCATTTCCCAGAGCTCCCTCCAGCTAAGCTTTCTTCTCTCCAGGCCTTCCCACCTCATCCATTGTCCCTGCTTAGCAAGAGAGACAGCCTTTGCACTTCTTTCTGCCTCCTCCTGACGGCGCACTTCCTCGACCACCATTTTCCTCCTCTCTGCTGTTGAGGTCTTACGCCAAGTTGGCTTGCTTGTCATAAGGCCAAGGCCTCCTCTTCCCAACTGGACGTGCCCTACAATATCGCTGTGCCTCAGGGCTGACGTAGCTTGCTGCACCGCGTCGGATGGTGTCCATTTCCGTCCAGTTAACAGAGGTGGAACAGCATTGCTGATGGTCTGGTCTCTGGAGTCCTTCAAAGTCATCTGGAGTCTCACTTTAGAGCACTTGCACTCTTCGGTGAGGCTTGTGATAGGAAGCTCAAGGACCCCTTTGCCGTAGAGGCTGATGTTAGTCAGACAGCGAGGGACGCCAAGCCATTTCTTCACGTATGAGGTCATGGTTCGCTCCATCTTCTCCACAGTTGTTATTGGGAGCTCGTAAATAGTGAGTGGCCACATAACCCGAGGGAGAAGTCCAAATTGAAGGCACCAGAGCTTGAGCTTCCCTGGCAGAAGGGTATTGTTGATGTTTTCAACATGACATATTTCATCAGTACGTATTATGCAAGTCACCATGTAATGATCAGTGACATCATCGCTTTGCGGTATAATATCTATATCAGTTGGATCGGTTCCATATGATATAATTAAATCTAGTGTATGATTTAGACGATGAGTGGGACCACTGACGTTTTGTTTGACCCCAAAGGAGTTTAATAAGTCTGTAAACGCAGCCCCTAAAGCATCATTTGTATTATCTACGTGTATGTTAAAATCTCCAGCAATTATTGCTTTATCGACATTTACCAATAGATCCGAGAGAAAGTCTGCAAACTTATTTAGGAATTCAGCATATGGCCCTGGAGGTCTATATACAGTAGCCAGGGCTAGAGATAATATGGATTTCCTTCTTACATCTAAGAGCGTAACATTTAGCACAAGTACTTCAAATGAATTAAACCTGTGACCTGTTTTCTGAGTAATATTAAAAATATCTTTATAGATTGTTGCAACACCGCCGCCACGACCGATCAGACGAGGCTCATGTTTATAACAGTATCCTGGCGGAGTAGATTCGTTTAGACCGAAATACTCATTTGGTTTAAGCCAGGTTTCAGTAAGGCACAGAACATCGAAGTTATTGTCCGTGACCATTTCATTTACAATAACCGCCTTAGGTGTGAGCGATCTAATGTTTAGGAGACCTAGCTTTAGAAATTGTTTTTGTTCACTGATATTTAGATTTTCTGGTTTAATTACTATAAGATTTTTGCTAGATCCTACACTGGATTTATTGTTTGGCTTCACTAAACGAGGAATAGACACAGTTTCTATATAATGTTCCACACTATGCTTATTAGTTAAGTTTGGACCGCAAAGGCTGTAATTTGGACTTTGACTCATTAGTCATTTGGTGCGTAGTGTCTTGGAAATGTTGTCCGACAGCACAGCCGCTCCGATTCGGCTGGGATGGAGTCCATCTGTGCTGTACAGCCTCGGTCTTTCCCAAAACAGATGCCAGTTATTTACAAAGTGCAGCCTCTGTTCATTACACAATGACATTAACCATTCATTTAATGCAAATAGTCTACTGAACCTTTCCTGTCCTTGTCTGTACGTGGGAAACGGTCCAGACACGATGATCGCTGCTTTAGGCGCTGCGTACCGTCTCTATCAGGCTCCTGTAGTCCTTCTTCAGAACCTCCGTCTGCCGCAGCCTGATGTCGTTCGCTCCCGCGTGCAGCACAACAGCTCTGACGCGCTCGTCCCCGTTCAGGATCTCGGGAACCTGTGCAGCGACATCAAGAACACGAGCACCAGGAAAGCAGTGAGTGCGCACCTTACCTTTATCCGAATTAGCGCGGACATGGCGGACCATGGATGTGCCGATGATCACGGCGTCATCGCGTTCCGGCTCGCGAAGAGGGGAGAAGCGGTTCCGGGTGGAGATCTCGAAGACCGGGAGGGGCGGAGAGGCAGCTCTGGTCCTGGCTCGTGTCTTCCGCTGTGTGGTCCATGTTGTTTCGGTGCCGGAGTGAATGAAGCCTGAGATGATCGCGTCTTCCTCGGCAGAGTAACATACGGAGTAGACGAACTCGGAGTCAAAGAGTTAACGTCACTAACCACTGATTTGTTAGCGTCGGCGCGTGATGCTTCAAGCGTTGAGCGCCGATCCAACAGCTCGGCTTGCTTCACCAGCAGACCACGGATCTGTTTCTCAACGTATTCCAGCTCCTGCTTCACCGTGAAGAGCTCGAATGTGTCTTCACCTGCACTCAAAGGTAATGTTAGACACGCATCTGATATGTTCGCCATTATAACAGATGATCAGTAAATTAGTAGTGATACTACAACTATCACTACTAATTTAGGATTGAAATGTCGGAAATAACCAGGATTCAGTGAAACGGGTGTAAAATGAGACGATCAATAGGCGAGAGGGCACGCGTGGAATGCTAGCGGGCTAAAGGCTAGTAGCCAGGATTAGGAAGGTTGGATATAAGTAGCGATATCAAAGCAATCCAATTGTTTTTTATAAGGAATACTATCGAGGATAAGTTCACATAATATAAAAATAGAAAGTGCTTGTTTATAAATAAGTGGTAAAGAAGAAAAATCAAGGATTAGTGAAGAAATTCTCCGGAGCTACAAACACAAACAACCGATCGCACGCGCACGCGCAGTGATACCCCTCTAAGTCCAGATATTGTGGAAAAGACATTACTACAGACTATTGAAGCAAACTGCTAAGTTTCAATTGTTATGTTCTAAAAATGTAAAAATATCAAATGAAAGAATGTCACTGTTTTCTTTGAAGAAAATATTACTTTGTATGAAGTGTGAAATTGTTGAAACTGCAAAGATGAAAAGTTTGGATTTTCTGCATTGGTGTTTGATGCTACTGTTTTTCCTCTCAGTGTGTTCTGAGTGACAGTGTGTGTTATCTCAGTGAGGGTTGTGCATAGTGTTGTGCACACTGAGCCTGTTTTGAGCCATATGTTAAGAGTTGTGCTCAGGTGACTGTTGGTAATGCAGACTGTAGTTAGAGTTTTGCACATTTAGCTCCAGTCGTGCTCACTGTCGTTTAGCAATCGAAAAAAACTGTAAGAAGATCATCACGTATAATAAAGAAACCTGATCGACTTAATTTGTAAATAACCCTGTTCAGTTACAATTGAAATGTGCCACACAAATGTATTGTTTTGAAATTTCAGTTTATTGTCAAATGGAAAATTAAGTTGTGTTATATTATTTCCATTGTTAATTGCATTTCAGTTTATATTTTTCTTCCTAAAGGAAAGGGGATGTGGTGATTAGGTGTGTTTCCTATGTCTGTCCTCTAGATGGCAGTAGAATCAAACATACAGTTAACAGATACCTAAGGAGGTAAAGAGGTAGAAAATCTAGGAGGTGGCTCCATAGCTATATCATGTCTATGGGTGGCTCATGTTTGTAGAATATTCTGAAGAATAAAGAGGCTACACGCCAGTTCCAACATTTATTTGTTCGGAGTGTTTTAATCAATAAACACCACAAATTTAATGACGTTAGATCAAGTGAATGAAGATTATCAGCATCCGTTTACGAAAAACCTAATAATTTCGCAAATAAAGATGGAATTTCACAGACTAAAATGAATTTCATGCAAAAAAAAAAAAAATGAGTCAAGGGAGAAAAATCCCACAGATAAAGACCATCTTTTATATTTAATTTGTTATAATTAATAATAGTTAGACAAAATTGCTTAGTCATAACATTTCAATATTGGCTAGAATAGATGATACTAGTATTTATTTGAATGAGCAACTTTTAATTTCACTTTTCCAGTTATCTCACTGGAGTTCCGCCTTTAGAGGGCGCTCGTGTAGCCGAAGCAACGATACACATCCAAGTCTAGGAGAAGAAAAGAAGTGAACGAGGGAAGGGAGAGGGAACTTAACATATGAAGTGGAACACAGCTGCTCATTCTGCTCTAAATCTGATGTGTTTTTCAGACTGTGAGTACATTTATTTTTTATTAGGATGAATCTAAATGCCAAACGATTAAACGAGTCACTTCATGACATTTAGTGAATCGCTTAGAAATGAATAGACATGAATTGACTGATGTTGTACATTACGATCGTGAAACGTGAGCTCGTTAATCTGACCGGATTTTCACATTACAATTTGTGAATATTATGAGTTGTTGTTAATTATAAGTGTTTTCAATTTATGTTTTTAATATTAAATCATATGTAATCAGGGCTCAATTTAAGGGGAAGGTGACATTCCCCTTGTTGATAAAATGACCACAACTGCATTCCCTCTTCAAAACCACAACCCCCATTATTATACATCAACATTAGATTAACAGTGTTCAGTAGCTATTATGTAAAACAAATCATGGAAATGAAAATAGAGTGATATATGAAGAGTTCAGATGCAAAAGCCTCTAAGTGCCATTTGAAATTTTCTTCTAAAATTATCATTTTTATCAAGCTTGTATATTTAAGTTCAGTAATTTCACTTAAATGGCAATGAAGATTACCTATTAATTTCCATTTAAGTGAAATTTCTGAACTTAAATATACAAGCTTGATAAAAATGGTAATTTAAGAAGAAAATTTCAAATGGCATTTAGAGGCTTTTGCATCTGAACTCTTCATATATATATATATATATATATATATATATACAGTAGCCTACTGTGCAGAAGTCTTAAGCCTTGTTCACACTACATGATTTTAAAACGTCGGGCTGAACTGTGCGGTTCACACTACATGACTTGCTCTCAGTGAAATAAGGAGCATTCAAGTTGTTTAGCTGTTCACACCACACAACACAATGTGATTGATCCACAACAGGAGGTAACTCACTACACGAGTTGACAACGCACTACATAGAGATACAACCACGATCGTACACTACACTACCTGCTACTGTAGCAGAGCGGGCATGTAATAAAAAAGAATGTATAATAATTCAAATCATGTATTACTAATTTTTTTTAAATATATAGATATATGAAAAAAATTCTCACTAATTCTGTGTTTTTGCTGGTAATAAAATTAAGCCACAAAACACTAATTTTATCATAAACTTTTTGTCAAATAATTTGTTGCACAATGAGCTTTACTGTTAAAATTAAAACATGGATTATTCCTTAAATTCAGTTTTGTTTAAAAAAAATCATAATTTATTCGTATTAGTGTTAATGTATTATTACATCTGGACATTTCCTATTTCTACTGTACAACAGTAATATATTTCTATCAAGTTAAACCGAACTTTTATTTTGATGGGTTGCCATAAAGCCCTTTGGAGTTTCTGTGTGTTTGTCATGATCGTCATGATGATAGTTTCACAAATGAAGCGGTTAAATGATTACGAAGTAACGTTCAGTGTGGATCTAGAGCCTGGAGAGGAACTTCAATCATTTCTGTCTTCATATAGGCAAAAAAACAGTGCAAGCATCACACGTGTGTCTTCAGTGTATGTGTATGTGTGTGTGTGTGTGTGGTAAATAAAACGTCTCGGTTACGGATGTAACCCTCGTTCCCTGAGTAGGGAATGGAGACGTTACGTCAGAAGTGACGGAGATTGGGGGATTTTGCATGAAAGCCAATCCTCTTCGAGTATTTAACAACGAGCCAATGGCATGCAATGCCTTGGGGCTGCGGAATTTTGCATAGCGTACTCCGCCCTACTCCGTGAGTATAAAAGGAGGAAGTGAACGCAACCGCAGTATGTCTTCGCTGAGGAGTCAAGACTGAACTCGGCGTCTACCCACCGGTACAGCAGAAGTGGCAGGGAGACGTAACGTCTCCGTTCCCTACTCAGGGAACGAGGGTTACATCCGTAACCGAGACGTTCCCTTTCGTAGTCACTTCGAGTTACGTCAGAAGTGACGGAGATTGGGGGTCTGTGCCATCACGCCATCTTCAAGCTGTCTTCCAGTGCCCTGCGAAAGTCTGGACCCCTGAGCCTTACCTTTTTTTTTTTTTTTTTTTTTTTACAGGGATCCCACTTTGACACAGGATTACCAAGGTACACTGGGAAACATATCCCAGGAGGGACATGCTATCAGATGCCTACCGAAGGAGGACTTACAATACACATATGGCCGTATAGGAACGCATATGGAGATCACTGGAGCACCAACCGTAGGTGGCTACTAGAACTTAACTCCAGGGGTGGCAGATGGCTTGCCAAGGGAAGACACATGCTCAGAGAGGCTTACAGTGGAAAATACACATGAGACAGTTACCATAGGGAACCGTGCACATGGAGGCACCTAGCCAGCATCCAGAGTAACCGCAGTGGTGCCCGCATCATCGGTGCTGGAGGACTCAAGGCTTCAATGGAAGACACTGAGGGAATATCGCACTTATCCAGTCCGAGGAGTGGAGTGGCGGGCAAGCGAAGACACCTAAGCGGGTCCAGTACTGGCGGAAGCGAGTACGTGAGAGGACACTGGCTAAATTCACAGATAAGAATCTTGCAAAGGTGTTTGGTGTCGCCCAGCCTGCAGCTCTGCAATTGTCTGTTAGCGAGGCGCCGTGCGCTAGACCCCAAGAGGAGGCCACACTCCGAGTGGAATGGGCCGTCACACCAAGGGGGCACTGACGGCCTTGCTGCTGGTGAGACAAAGCAATGGCGTCCACTAACCAGTGGGACAGCCGTTGCTTTGAGAGAGCCCTTCCCTTCTGGCTCCCCCCATGACAGACAAGAGCTGGTCTGAGGTCCTGAACACCGCGTCCTGTCAACGTAGGTGCGGAGAGCACGTACCGGACAGAGCAGTGCCAAGGCTGGGACTGCCTCCTCCAGGGGCAGCGCTTGCAGGTTCACCACCAGGTTCCGGAAGGGAGTGGTAGGAACCTTGGGCATATATCCAGGCCGGGGTCTCAGGAATACGTGAGAGTAAGCCGGCCCGAACTCCAGGCACACTTCGTCAACGGAGAGTGCGTGCAGGTCCCTTACTCTCCTGATGGAGACCAATGCAATCAGGAGTGCTGTCTACATAGGACAGGGCAAAAACTCTACCGACTGCAAAGGCTCCAGGGGAGGCCTCTGCAGAGCACTTAGATCTACTGAGAGGTCCCTAGAGGGCACGAGGGGAGGGAAGCGGATTTAGCCCCCTCGCTCCCCTCAGGAACCTGATGACCAGGTCATGCTTCCCATAGACTTACCTTTCACTGCATCATGAGACGCGGCAATGGCCGCGACATAAACCCAAAGGGTGGAGGGCGACAGCCTACGCTCCAACCCTTCTTGCAGGAAGGAAAGCACGACTCCGATCGAACATCTCTGGGGGTCTTCTCCGCGAGAAGAGCACCAGCTGAGGAAGAGGTTCCACTTCAACGCGTACAGGTGTCTCGTGGACAACGCTCTAGCGGAAGTGATGGTTGCCGCTACCGCAGGTGGCAACGAACTCAAACCTGCCCCGTCCCGTCCTGGAGCCACATGTGTAGCCTCCAGGATCAGGACGAGGGTGCCACGGAGTGCCCCGTCTCTGAGTGAGTAGATCTTGTCTCAGAGGAATAGGCCAAGGAGGTGCTGTCGCGAGGAGCATGAGTTCGGAGAACCACGTCTTGGTGGGCCAATAGGGGGCTACCAGCAAGACCTGCTCCTCATCCTCCTTGATCTTGCACAACACCCGTGCAAGAAGGCTCACTGGGGGAAACGCAACTTGCGTGGACCCCGCGGCCAGCTGCGCGCCAGTGCATCTGAGCCGAGCGTAGCCTCGGTCAGGGATAAAACTGGGCGCAGTGGGATGAGTCCCGGGAGGCGAACAGATCTATCTGTGCCTCCCCGAACTGGTCCCAATCAGCTGTCTGGGAATGGAGTCGCCATTCGCCGGAGATAGGACGGATCCGTGACAGCTCATTGGCTGCCAGGTTCCGGTCTCCTGGAATATATACTGCACGAAGGGACCTCAGGTGCTTCTGACTCCATAACAAGAGGTGGCGGGCGAGCTGCGACAACCGGCGTGAGCGTAGACCCCCCTGGTGGTTGATGTACGCTACTGCCGTGGTGTTGTCTGAACGGACAAGCACATGTTGACCCCTGAGCAACGCTCGAAGCGGTGCAGGGCCAGACGTACTGTCAGCAGCTCGAGGCAATTGATGTGCATGAGGCGCTGGGGTCCTGTCCAGGAACCCGCGGCTGCATGCCCATTGCACATGGCACCCCAACCCGTGGTAGATGCATCCGTGGAGACAATGAGATGCCTGGAAACTCGCTGAATAGGGACGCCGGTCCGTAAAAAGCTGAGGTGCGACCACGGGAAGAAGGTTCGGCGGCACGCTGGAGTCACTGGAACTCGGAGCGAGCCGCGATGCCATGTCCACCTCGGGACTCGATCACGAAGCCACAGCTGAAGCGGTCTCATATGAAGCAAACCGTGCGGCGTTGCCGCGGCCGCGGATGCCATATGCCCCAGGAGCCTCTGAAATAGTTTCAGTGGAACCGCATTCTTGCCCTCGAACTGTCGAAGACAAGTCAGCAGTGAGTGCGCGCGCTCGTTCGTGAGCGGCGCGGACATGGCGACTGAGTCTATCTCCATGCCGAGAAAAGAGATCCTCTGCACGGGGCAAAGTTTGCTCTTTTCCCGGTTGACCCGAAGGCCCAGACGGGCTAGGTGCCGGAGCACCAGGTCTCTGTGTTCGCAACCCTGTTCTCGAGAGTGTGCCAGTATCAGCCAGTCGTCGAGATAAATCAGGGTGCGAACCCCGTGTTCGCGAAGGGGAACAAGGGCTGCCTCGACGATCTTCGTGAAGACGCGAGGTGACAGAGCTAACCAGAAAGGGAGAACCGTGTACTGATGCCTGGCCTCGAGGCAAACCGAGAGCGGTCTGTGTCGAGGCAATATGGAGACATGAAGTACGCGTCCTTCAGGTCGATCGCTGCAAACCAATCCTGAGGCCGAACGCATTCGAAAATGCGTTTGGCTGTGAGCATTTTGAACGGTAGTCGATGGAGAGTACGGTTCAAAATGCGCAGATCCAGGATCGGC